CAGATTTAACAATCCTCGTGAAGGCGTTAATGCTACGTACTTTTCATGACAGAACTGGTAGGGTCAGAGTTAAACTGGGAGTTGTCTATCGTTTCGGAAGCTTCCTGACATATCTTGGTTTTGGACCCTGGGGCTCTTGGCATCAGAAGTATAGTATAGACATCTCATGTGGTTACGGCAGAGAAGATGATACCACGCCTCGTTATTAAAAAAATCCACGCTTTTTGTTATATTTTAGTTCAGTAGRAGYCATCATGGCAGCTATATGGGTTGCAAGTTCCCAAGAAAGCCATGAGAAAAAAGAGCGGCCATCTTTGCAAGATTAAATATGGTTGCTTGGTAAGGATGACGTAACATGCAATCGAAAAATTATYATGATGTACTGATATAAACTGCCAATAAAATCTGTTGCTTGTGATTCAAATGTGTTGTTCGTGTGCATAGAGATTGCGTTTGGACATGTTTTCCTTGGGGAAAAGTCAAACTATTTATCGCCTCTGGGGGTGGGTRTGRGTGTGTGCMGCGATCATCATAAAGATGAAATCATGATCTCTCGTTTTCGATAGATAGTATTTAGTTTAGACAAGAACGTCTGGCTCGAGACGAAGGGTTGGCAACAAATCGCTTTTTCCGAAGATTCATTTGATGATTTGATGAAACAAAATATCGATATTTTAGAATTAAGAACTTGACTTTAATTTTGATTTTTATTTTGAGATTAAAATCAATAATCTAAAAAATCTAAAAAACTTGGCTTGATCCATGTAATGACGTCACGGGCATCAGCCAAGTTTGGTCATTTTCGAACATGACGTCATTTTCGCACGCGTTCTAAATATGACGTCATAAACGCATTATTAGACTAATGACTTCACTTTTAGGTTGTTAGCACAACCGATAACATTACAATGATCGAACTCGTGATATTTAGCGGCGTAATATTTTTTTATTACGCAATAGAATTTTGTATTGAATATTTTATCTTTAGTAGTGCAAATGGAAGAAATGGGAGCTCATTCAAGCAGGTAAAACTCGTGAGCGTCTCGTGATTCTAGCAATAAAACTCGCGACTTGATTTCGGCGCGTTTTTGATTCCGGCGTTTTCACATATGGTTAATGACGCCTGAACAAACAATTTTGCAAATATGTACTCGGTTCAATTCTTTGCAGAGCAACG